ACCTCTTTTTTACTTGGTCTAGGCATGAGGGCTTTTTTTTTTGGCTCGAAAGCTTGATATAATTATGAGGTATGAAATAATGCACTAGCAATTGACTAGTTTAATGCATTTGCAGGGAGGATATAAGGGATTTTATGTTAAAATACAGTTAGATCTCAAGGTTGTTCAAGTTCACACAAAAAAATCATTTAATTTTAATTAAATGAACAAGAACACTCATAATATGAAATATTTGAACTTGTATTAAATTTAAAAATATTTAATGAACTCAAATCAATCGCAAATTAAAACACAAATGATAAACAAAAACTATTGTTCAAAAAGCAATTAACACGTCTAATAACACTTGCAGGAGATACAGGGATTTTATGCTAAAATACGATGTATCTCAATCCTAAGGTTGTCAATGATATTCACAAATGTGGTGGAACAGTCCTTGGGACATCACGAGGAGGCATGATACATCAAAGATTGTTGACAGCATTCAGGATCGTGGAATTAATCAGGTATGTGAAAGAAGAAAATTATTGTGATATTTGTGATTATTGACCTTAGTTTAAGGTGAAGTGCAATTAGTTATTACTATATATTCAAGAAGGTCAACCGGTTGACATTTGATCATATGTGTAATTCAGGTTTACATTATTGGAGGAGATATGTGAAAAGAAAGAAAATTATTGTGATATTTGTGATTATTGACCTTAGTTTAAGGTGAAGTGCAATTAGTTATTACTATATATTCAAGAAGGTCAACCTGGTTGACATTTGATCATATGTGGTAATTCAGGTTTACATTATTGGAGGAGATGGAACTCAGAGAGGTGCAGCTCTTATATTTGAGGTGATTTCTTTCATCTTATTCAAATTAAGGGTTGTTTGTTTACTTCAGAATGATTAAGCGTCGAATAATTTAAATGATGAATGATTCAGAGGCTCTGTAGAATTAGCTCTGAATGTGACATTTGTTTGATAATGGCTCTGAATCATTCAGAATGTACTTATGTGCTGAATCATTCAACACTGTATTGCTGAATCAGTCAGCACTGTATTGCTGAATCAGTCAGCACTGAATCATTCAGAAGTGCGAAACAAACGCGCTGAATGCTAAACGTTCAGCATTCAAACCTAAATGATTCCATTAAGAGGCAAACAACAGCCCCTAAGTTTGAGTATTGTATCAAGAAATATCTTTTATAGAATATAGAACATTGATTTGCTACGAGAATCAGTGCTTATTAATAAAACAATGTTTTAAACTTTACAGGAAATTAGAAGGCGTGGTCTTAAAGTTTCAGTCGCCGGAATCCCTAAAACCATTGACAATGACATTCCGGTAATCCTATGGCTTGGACTTTGGAGACATTGTTTTAACCACAAGCCTCTCACGCATTACAACCTGGTTTACTTGGTTGCCAAACAATGTTGAAACTTTGTTTCATTTTTCGCACATTACAGGTTATTGACAGTCTTTGGCTTCGACACTGCTGTGAGGAGGCTCAATATGCCATTAATGCTGCTCATGTTGAAGCCGAAAGTTTTGAAAACTGTATCGGTCTTGTGAAGGTGATGGGCCGCTACAGTGGTAGTTACCATCTCTGTTGTCCTAAAATCTATGTTATTCATATTCAGGTATGAGCGTTAGATATAGGTACGTGTCTTACACGAGTATGTTCCATTTTTTATTCTTTTTTTGTATATTTATACGATCCTTAAAAGGTTACATCGCAATACCTATGTCTGAAAATGTGAAACCCCAAATCCCCAATACCTATGTCTGAAACTGTGATGCATTTAAGTGCAACTTATGGACAGGTTTATTGCAATGTATGCAACTCTAGCGAGCCGAGACGTGGATTGTTGCTTGATCCCAGTCCCCATTTATCTTGAAGGACCTGGAGGGCTTTTTGAATACATCGATAAACGACTTAAAAGAATGGCCATAAGGTTTTTATGATTGCAGAAGGTGCAGGCCAGGAGCTACTTTCCGAAAGCATTCAACTATGGCTATCACAGAGGATTACTGGATTCAACTTGGGAACTAGTATCAACATATTAACATTTAAGAATTTTAGTAATGTGGAAGTGCATTCATTGGCTTTTTCCTGTTTTTTTTTCAGGATTACTTCTCAAAACAAAGGAAGATGCCCATAAACCTCAAATATAGGTTAGTAGAATAAATAGTGGAGATGCTTTTAGATTTCGTTTTGCCATAAAAAAGGAACAGTAATGGGTGGTTTTGGTATAATTCTTTTTCAGAACATAAATTTATTGTGGCAGATCCTACTTATATGATTCGTGCTGTTCCAAGCAATGCATCTGACAATGTTTACTGTACTCTTCTCGCTCAAAGTGCTGTCCATGGAGCGATGGCGGGATACACCGGCTTCACAAGCGGTCTTGTCGACGGCAGGCACACATACATCCCATTCAACGTGAGTTCATCCTAACTTTGCTGTTCCAGTTTCTTTTTTAGTAGATACAATCCAAACACGGAACAGAACAATGTTTTTATAAAACTCCTTTTAAATATAAACAAAAACAAAAACAAAATATTATTAATTATTAACAGTTAATTATTAAGAAATAGTTTTTTACGTTTTCTCTTATTTATTAATGATGGTTATTACGTTTTAGAATAAAGTATCGTATTGTAGTTTTTAAATTAATTATAAATAGACAAATAATGCATGATATATTCAAAACGACATTATTCATATTGATAAAATTGAGATGTTGTACGGCATAAGAGAAAAATGTGCTTTTTCAATCTTAACATACTATAGTATATATATTCTTTTAAACTTGCAACTTTCTACTATATATGGTTACAATTATAAGGAATATATATCAGATTCAATGATTAAACAAATATTAAGTGAATAATTATAGTGTAACAACTAATATACATTAAAAAATTTCTACTATATAGCGTTGAGAAATAATTCTTCTTATTCTTTTTTTTTCCTTTTTGATTAATTGAAAAATATTCTTTAACAAGCACAACTTAAAAATTTTCAACGCTTCTATATAAAACGAAATTTGTAACTTATTAATTTGACAAATTATATATTTTCATAAATTTTAATTTGAATATTTTTAACTTTGGTATTTAGTTATACACTTTGATAAATATTAAAAATTATAATATTAGATACACATTCTAATAATTTTTTTATTAGATACACATTCTAATAAAAAAATATCTTATTTGACCTATCAATTATAGTTAAAATTTCATTTTTGATATTTTTCAATACTATTAAGTAATAATTACAAAAGAAATAAAAAATTTATAAAAGATATATGAAACAATTTTTTAAATTAAAAATTATAATATTTTGAATTTTTTCATTCATCAAATTATTTTATTACTATTATTAATCGTGATTGTACTTGTAAAATTAAAAAATTATAATTTTCAAGATCTAAAAAATTGGATTATCGAACAACGTAATTTTTATTAGACGGTGTGATTCAAACACCTGATTTTTTTAAAGAAGTTTAAACACAATTTTAAAAAATACATTCTAAAATAGTATCACATTAATAAGAAAATTACTTCTAAACTTAAAAAAATAATCAAAATAATCCTTAAATTTTAATAATATATAAAATAATTTATGATGATAAAATCCAATATTTATAATATGATACTAAAAAATATTTACTTTTTATATCCATTTTGTTTTCAATTCAATGAACATGATAAAACTATTTATAATTAAAGGGCCAATGAAATTTTTCTATTAATTTAGAATGTCACATCACATTTTTTATTATAGACAATGGTGTTGTGCCCATTTTTCAAAATTATAGTATTATAACTTTTAAAAGTTTGATATCTAAAAAGATCATTTGATATAATTTAATGTCTAGAATTTTATCTTATAAAGTTTGTGGTGGATAGCAATGCTTGACATTCATTCTAAAATTTTCCGTGTTTATAATCGTTTTGCGGATTCTTATACACCGTTGGATCGTTTTGTCACCGACCTTGATTCTTTTTTTCTCGGACGTGTATTACAAAGTCGAATCATGCTTTATTTAGATAATAGCATTTTAAAATGAATAGTTTTAAATATTTTAATAATGTCTGGATTTTGAAAGCTATTTTTTTATTATTCTAAATAGTTACATTCTAAAAAACAATTATTAAATGAATCAAACGATTTTGATGATCTCGAATTTAAATATGATTTCTACAGAGATATTAAATTATTTATTATCAAATGATTTGTGATATTTCCAAAAATTATCCGTTATAATTATCCCAAATTAATAACAAAATAACATTATTAAATATTTTAACATTTAACTTTTTAGAATCCATATTTATTTTAAATATTAAGATTTTAAAAGTCTACAAAACAATGACCGTTAATGTTTGTGATTAACTTATGGATTCAATCATGAAACAACCCGAATCGAGCTTATTAAAGCAAAGTAGGTAGAAGACAGGATTTGGCATTTTGTATTTTATTGGATAACTACGAGGTTGTACAATTTTTTTCATTATCTAAATTTAAATTCAATTTTACGGATTCCAATTCGTACATAAATTTAAATTCAATTTTACGGATTCCAATTCGTACATAACTTATGGCCAAATCTATTGTTTGAACTCAAAATGAATTGAATGACAATTCCCTTATTATAGCCAATAGGCCGAATATCAAAGTTGAACGCGCGCGCACGCACACATCTTAAATAGACACAAGAAGAAGAAACAATACTATTATATCACCGTTAAGGGCTTGTCCCCTCTCCCCGTGGCTACCCTTGTAGTTGTATCAAGGCGTTGGTTTTTCTGGGTAAAGGTCCCTGCTCTGGGCCTTACTGTCCTTGGTGCTTTCTTGGAATAAAATTCCCTCCTCGCCCCACGGACACAATGTATACATGTTATTTTTAGTGAAAAAACAATCGAACTAAAACCCGATTGGCTATAGCATACGAGCCTACAGTACCCTAGTTAGTGATGAAGCAGAAACGAAAACCCATAATAAGCAAATAATTAAAGCTAAATAATACCAAAATCACAATCTTTAGCTAACAAATTGATGTTTAACTCGATCCCGTGAACATAAATAAGTAGCATAAAACGTTGCCAAAAAAGAATGAAAATAGACTTAATCCCTTGAAGCTTCAAACGGGGCTTCTTGCCTTCTTCAGCTGCATAGCTCTTACTTCTCAGATGAGTTAGGTCCCCTCTTTTTGCCAAATCCTACCACTGCAAAACCCAGAAATTAAGACAAATTACTCGTCAATATCAATACATACACAAACGAATCCCGATTCTAAAAGAAATGACAAATACCAACAGAAATCAACCACAAGCAAAAACTGAGCTTCCTTTTAGCCACAGAAAGAACTTCAATAAAATCATATTCCTACCATCTAATCCAATTTGAGTATATAAATATGTATAACACCACAAAGAAAATGTAATGAAATGAGAGAAAGAAAGAATAATGACCTGCGGTGACGAAACGGCGGTTGTATTGCATCCGCTTGTAAGCTCGGCCACGGGGCTTCTTCTTCTTGTCTTGCTTCGCCACTTTAGGAGTTTGGCCTCTCACCTTACCCGCACGAGCTAGGGATCCGTGAACCTTACCTGAAATAATCAATGTGATCCCAAAATAATCAGTGGGAAACAGCAGTAGGGGTAAAAACCAAGCAATAACAGAAAGAAGGCTAAGTAAGGTAGCTTCGGAGATTTGCCCATGGCGGAATCGTCAAAAGATTGCCCTCGTTGCTGAACTGCTAGTTTTTTATCCCAGCGAATAAAAGAGACTAGGGTTAGTGTTTTGGTGACCGTATATAATGTTTGATCAATTTGGGCCGGGTTAAGACCCAAAGTTCCAATGCTTTATTTGAAAAAATTTAAAGTTTTATATTATTATAACTTTGAAATTTCCAAATATTTTACCTTTTTTTCCCTCGCAATAGTACACACTTTTTTTTTTCATAATAGAAACTTGTTTAATTATAACATTACATATGTGATAAATGTTACGTTTTAACTTAATGAAAAACTTTAATGCTTAGAAACTTGGAAAATCTCGGATTTAAACTTAATAAATACTATGGTGTATAATTAATTCTAACTTTATATTAGTTTAAAATTTAATATTTATTTAATACATTCTGATTATTAGTTTAATATTTAAATACATTAAATTATTATTCCATCTATAATTACTATGATTTATCAATTGTAATTGTTCTTATTACATTTACACTTTAACTTGTAACACTTAAAAATACATATGTAACAAATTAATTTCTGAGACTGTTATATCATCAGAACTTAAAATAGACCAAAAAATTAAATTTAAGGATAGGAGTATATCAAAAGAAGTTTAGAGAATAAGTTCCAAGGACAAAACTTGCTTTGTCTCTAATGCAGAACTTCCATTATTTAAGGCCTTCGACCTGGCATCCGTTAAGACCTTCAAAAATTGAGAACATGTTGCCACAGAGAAACCACTCTACCTGTTAGACAATCTGCGCATGTCTTAATTCCAAGTTATTGATAAATCTAGCTACTTTCTCAAATCTACACGCACCCAACAATATTTGTAATAATCGACGGAAAATTCCAATCGTACCATGTCTTAATTCAATTGTTGAAATATAAATTGCACTGAGCATAGAAGTCTAAACAACGATAAACCAAATATCCGATGAAAACAATGTCTCACAATTTAAAATCGAAAACTAAACAAAACTATGAAACTTGGATGTGAAATTGTTGATGAACAAAATGCATTTTTTTTAATTTGAGATCAAGGATCACTCATTGTCATCGATGACCTTGGTCCCAAACTTTTGAGTCCTTCAGCTGGGATTTCAGCAACCGTTACGAGAGTGTAAAGCTCTTCTTTTGCATCTTCGTCGTCATTTCTCTTTCGAGCAATGCGGACCCTAATCCTTCGGGACACTCCGGATCCCTCTGCTCCAGATGTGCTTGTTTAGTTTGACATCAACTCTTACGTCCTTTGTCCCCATGGCTTTTTCTGCAAACCTCCTCATCTCCTTTATCGCTGGGAGCTTTCTTCTTGAACGTTCTGTTTCCAAGATTACCAAGTGGATTATTAAAACATATATCACTCAGCTATACTTGCTACCTACACTGATTGGATTAGGAAAATATTAAATCCTACTTGGTCAGTTTATCACTGTTAATTCGAGATAAAATTCATGCATATGATTGGGCTTGAAGTCAAGCATAAGAATAAAAATTCTAGTCTATTGGATAAATGAGCTTAACCAAACACTATGTGAGCTTGAGCAATTTTTATCTCAAATTAACACTCAACCTATATTAAGTCTACTTCCAAACAAAGTGATACTCTGTTGAATAAATAACTTCTTATGCCGTCGAACTTAAAAGCACATGTAGATAAGACTAATTCATGAATCTATAGCTTTTAACAGATGAAAAATACCATGAATCTAAACCTTAAAACCCCCACTTCTTATTCCCATGAAAGAACATTACTAGACGGTTAAATTCATTATCATAAAACAAGATAAATACGCAAAAGAACAAGGTCTATTTAACAAAAGGAACTGAAACAAATCATCAAAAATTGAAGGGAAACAAGTAATAAACCAAGCAAAAGTCTAATTTAGAACCAAAACAACAATGATCCAAAAAGAAAATAACAGAATACTAGGAATAGAAACGAGGAGCAATCAATGCAAGAAGTGAAAAATCTGTAGAAATAAGTGAACGAATTAAAATTACCAGCCATGGAGACGCTTGTGAAGGTTGATAGTGTATTCCTGGTCACTACCTTCCTTCCTTCCCCTTGTTTTCTCAACCATTTTAATGCACAAAAGCAACGCAGATAACTACAACGGAGAAGACGAGAGGCAACAAAAGGAGGACGGAAGCTTTCCAAAATATATTGATCCCTGAATCTAGGGTTTTCGGAGTTCGGCTGCTGGGTTTTGGGTTTAAAATCTAACCCAAACCATCTCCTTAAGCCCAAATCTCTTCTTTTACACGGACGTAGATTTAGAAGCCTTTTTACAACCCACGGTATTGTATATATTTATTTGTTTAATATAAAAAATTATTTTATTATTATTATATAAATATATTTTATTAGTTATATAAAATCATAACAATTTTTTGATTGCCTTATTCCATGTCAAGGTTTAAATGGATGGAGTAAATACGATAGATAATCGTGATGATGACTGGTACAAAGTTGTCATTAAATTGAGTAAGAGAAAATATCACACTTTGAAATAATGAAGAATATTAATCTCACATTATAAATAAAAAGGAAAGTCATAAAGTTTACAAACGGTGACACTGCATATCTTAATGTATATATATATTTGAATAGTTTGAGGTGCTTAAAGCTATGTTTTTATATCTTGCAGATACAATTATTCAAATTTAAAATCTAACTTTCGTCATAGTATCTACTACCGTCTCAATTGGTCATTTCCAAGAAAAACAACTTTCCCAGATTCTTATACTTTCTTCATACAATTCTTGAAATCTTCATGGTATTTTACGTCAATTATACCTTTAAGGAAAAAGAAGAAGATATTCATAATCGAACAAATTACTTAATGTAAAATATATATATAAAAATATGAATGAGAGAATGAATCGACTTTTTTCCTCAACGCATTCGTCGTGGATCTTGCAACAAGCTTCCAGATCGTCGCACGGTTTTTCTCCAAGATAGTCGGACCACCCTACACCGCAATATTTCCCGTATCGGATCCCAATCGCTGCATTAATTCAGTAATCAGTCACCAAAAACAAAACAAAATCAATTGAAGTGATTGGAGATAAGAAAATGGAGATTACCATTACAATTTTCATCTACTTAGGATCTGCTACATTTTATTTTTGTAATTTAAGAAAAAAATATTGTCACGACTATTATTTTTTTAGGAGTATAAATAATAAAAAATTGGGATTGATAATTGAAATTATTCTCAAATAAATTGGGAAAAGATAGAGATGGATTTTTGAGGATAATATTATACCTGGGAATCATTATTGGTAACAGACACGGCGGAGACTGAGAAGAGGACGGCGACGGGAAATGTTTTGCCGAAACGCACTGCATTGGGAAGCATTCTATCGCCGATTGCTCGTCCCATATAATTAGCCTTTTCTTCTTCTTTCCTCGGATTGCCCATTGTGTTGCTCGTTTTCGTAAAAATAGTTACTTTTAAGTGAGCGTTTCGAAATTACTTCAACAACCATCCTAAACAATTGGGAGCTCCGTTCGTTCGCGCCTATATAATATTGGGTAAAGTGCACCACCGGTCATTGAATTATAATCAACTATCTTTTTTACTTCAAATTTTTTGTTACATGATCATTCAATTTTTTAAATAAACTATATATAATTATTAGACTTATTAAATTATTATAAAATAGTCATTATAATGTTATAGTAAGAATAAAATTTTAATAAATTTAATAATCATTTTGTAACAATAAGATAAATTTCAATGAATATTTATAAAAGATAAAAAAAATTAATGATAATTTCATTATTTTAAAAATGTAATGACTAAAATAATCATTTTAACATAATTAAGAAATTTGTTATTTTCTAACAAATTCTAAATTTAATCTTAATCTTACTTAGGGGAGGAGAAAGGAAGAACTTTAATAAAGGAAGGGGAATACTCTTAATGGTTCTAAAACTCTCGACTTAAGTGGATATGAGGAAACAAAGATAAGCAACTTGGCCAACTAATCAAATGTACTTCATAAAAAAAAATATGATGTCCAATTTACTATTTATGCATCCAAATTACGATTACAAAAACAATGTAATAAGATATAATTAATGATATTTCAAAATATAAAATAAATTCAATCATATTTTAAAGTCTGTACAAATTTAATAATTTATATTATATTAATACAACTTTTATATTCATACTACCATGTTGCATTTTGACAACTTTTATATTAATACCATGTTGGTCCACCAAAGGTTAACGTGAAAGGTGTAGTTAACGCAGAACAAGTTTATAATGAAATTCTTGATTGTTTTTCAAAGACTTGCAAAGGGTCAGGGATCAGAGGTCAAAATCGCGGTGTCGGTATGTGTTTTGACACTAGTGATGCTGCATTTTAACTCGTGTTTTGGTGGTTCGATTCTTGTTGGGATTTTCGTATTGATATGTGGGATTCTTTTTGCAGCGCCATCGCTTTACGGGATCTTTCCTTATGCGGGGTTGAAGTTTTACTTCTATGAGGAGATGAAACGCCATGTCCCAGATGATCAGAAGAAAAATATAATGGTGAATTTAGTGTGTGGATCTGTAGCTGGGTTGTTGGGAAACTTTCACATATCCTCTTGATGTTGCGAGGAGGCAAATGCAGGTATTAAACTCTTTTGAATCGAAATTCATAATGAGAAATTATCAAGCCTGTAATTTTAATGTAGTGATAATAACGAGTATTGTTGGTCTTTAGGTCCAGAGGCTTGGCGTCCAACAGTCCTGAGTTGAAAGGAACAATGGAAACACTTACAATGATTGCAAAAAATCAAGGGTGGAAGCACTTATTTTCAGGGGCTGAGCATCAACTACCTCAAGGTAGGAAAATTACATTTCCCATCTATGTTCTCGGACTTATGTGTTGGATACGAGTATATGTCCGACACGGATATGTTCATTTTTACTGAGTTTTGTGTATTTGACGAGTTCTTGACGGTCGTATTCTCATACCCATAATCAGAAACATGAATGTTAGATATGAATAATTCAAGAAAAATGATGAGTTAGAATAAGTTAATTTTCGGTTTACGAGCTTTTTATTGATAATTCTGTGTCTTCTACAGGTTGTACCATCCGTGGCAATTGGTTTTACAGTTATGACATGATGAAATCAAGCCTGAGAGTTCCATCCCATGATGAGGCTGTGATAGAAGTGGTAAACAAATAAAAGAAATACCCAAACATCTTCTCTTCACACACGATGATGAATAATTTCGATCATCATTGTTTCTTGTATTGTCCAGCAAGGACATTTGCTTCACCTTTATAATTCTTATGTTATAACTGACCATATCAGGCTATCTAACCTGTACAATTCAATTCATTTACGCTGGAAATTAGGGCTTCTATAGGTTCCATTCCCACCAGATAAATTTTGCAAGAGGTGGAGCTTGCATATGGGGTAATAAAGATTTCAAGATTAGATTTATTAACAGTGTACATAATTTGTGGGTATCAATTCAATAAAGGATATTACTGCTGCTCTCTATCTTCTATTCAGAAACCAATATCAGCGCCCTGTGCTTGTCTCAGTTTACTGAAGCAAATGTTCATGTATGGATTTATGTAAACTAGTTTGTCTGGGTTCAACATGCATTCATGATTCATTTATGACTATGTACAATAGTACTGAGGACCTAGGTTTTGATGGACTGAAATATATATTTTTATATCAGAGCCCTGTTCATGTCTCAGTTTATTGAAGCAAACGCCATGTATATATGTATGCATGCATGTATGCATACTAGTCGCCATGGGTTCAACAATTGTATTAATTGAGACATTAGAAGCAAAAACTTGTTTGATGAGAACAAATATTTCAATGACAAAAGGTTGCTACTGAATTTAGATTTCATTGAATGGATGTTTAGATGTTAACAATAAATACAAAATCGATTCAAGGGTTTACTACAGTTTTACCAGTAATCACCACAAGAGCATTTACCATCCTTGTAATGATGAAATCGTTTGTTGTCCCTCACAATCAACTCTCTTCCAACAATCTTTGACATGATTTTGATTGCATTGTGGCAGTCTCCACAAATTCTCGATTCTTAATGATCCTAAGAGGTGTCCTTGCCGGATTACTAATAAGACCATAGGCAATCGCCAATCGCTCACTATGGTACTGCAAGGCCTGTTCCTTTGCCTCTTCATCGATTTCATGAAGCACATACCTTGTATCAGGCACATACCCGGCTTCCCTCATCTGCCCATTCAAGCCTTTGAACTTCTCGTTTGCTTCTCCTTTGAAGGGGTTCATACACCTATATTCAGTCACCCTATTCTTCTCCTCAATCATGTTAATCATAGAAAGTTTTTCTTCTGTGCTCTGAGTTTCTCACTGCTTATGGAAGGCAACAACTCCTCAACATGATCTTCAAGGTCGATATCTCCATGATTTCGCGCAAAACCCCTAATTGCCTGCCAAATCTCTGTTGTCGGCTCAATCAGAATGTTCTCAATAAACTTCACAGCCTCATTCAAATACCCAGCTCTCCCGAAAACATCGATAATCCCAATATAATGTTCAATCCCCAGGGCAACCTTATATTCATTCTTCATCAATTCAAAGTACTTTACTCCCTCCTCGGTATTGCCTACACTAGCACAGGCTGATAAAACAGCCAGAAAAGTCTCGTTGTCGGGCTGGAAACCACTTTCTCATTTCTTCAAACAACAGTCCATCACCTCCACTTCCATTCACCGCATACCCATTTATCATCAGCTTCCAAGAGGCCAAATTCCGCTCTCGCATTTTATTGAACACCCTGCATGTCGCATCCTAATTTAGGGGCTAAATTTTAATAAATATAAGTATAGAATTAAAGTTGTATCAAGGGAGAAATTTAGGATTAAATTGTAAATCATGAAGCTGACATACCATTTTAGGAAGTTGCAGAAAATTCAAGGATTTGAACCCCAATTTACTCATTTTATTACCCAGTGAAAATTTTAACCCGAGCAATATGAATTTCCCCAATTCAAAAACCCTAAATTCTCAACCCCATCGACCCCTTTTTGTCACCTTGATTCTCTATCATCTGGCCACCATTCGTCGCTCCGACACCACCAATAGATTGTCGAACAGTGAACAAAACATGACTTCTATCCCGTCGTGAATCGACACCATTCGCTGTAAACTCAACGGGAAGCTTCGTCGTTTTAAACCTGACTGTCGCTTGTTTTCCGTCGATTTCGGTCAATTAACCTGGCCGTTCACTCACAGTCACCTTGTGCTCAAAACCGACTGAAATCATCGCACCGTTGTTGCTTCATCATCGTCACTCGCTCGTCGACCATCGTTGGAGAAGTTCGTACGTTTTAAAATTCTGTAATCTGTTATATTTCGTTGAAAAATAACACATGCACGAGAATCTCGAGGTCTCGGTCTAATAATCTGGAAATTTTCGTGCCGCACGCGTCGCCCCTACTCATGGCATCGTCTGCCAGCCTAGGGACCGGTCTGGACCGAGCTGCTTGGGTGAGCCGTTGACCGTTAATTAGGCATTGACTGTTGACCGCCGTTGATCGGTCGTTGACTTTTTTCGGGTACACATATTCCGATGTTTTTAGAACATCATGAGTCCGTTTTGTAAAATTCGAACCCATTAAGCTATTTTTCACTGATTAAGTACCCAATTCGATCCGTTTTTCGCAATTAAGCTCCTTTTCTGATGAAATTTATGTTGTTGTGTATCTGAGAAATTATTGGACATTGAATTAAAGATCGAGGGCGATCAAATGGAGTTTAAATATTCGATCGATGGGGTACAAAAATCGAGGAATACTTTACTATCTTTTTGCATGCTTTATGGACATGTTGATAATTGATAAATGCATAGATGTATAAGATTGGTCTATTATGCATGTTTGATTATGGATGGACTCGAACCGATTACGGTTTAAGTGATAAATTGGTTAAGACTATTAAATTAAATAAAGGAATTAGAAGACTGGTAAGAAATGATTTTTAGTAAAGTGATTAATATGAAGAGCAAATGACCTCAGATTTTTTAAATTCTAATTATTTTCGTTAAAAGGTTAATACCATAATCATCTGATTATAAAATTATGAAATTACCCCTATGGGGTAAAAATGGTCTGGACTAACCCTCATAGTAAAGGTACCCTGAGAATTCATATTTTAATCCGATAAATTGCTGATTCACCTGTTAAATTTGATATGTTCGGAAAGTCACTGATAATTAGATTATTACATCTGAGAAGGTACAATTCCTAGAATTATCGTTTATCAGCAATACCTAAAGGCTAAATCACGAGAGTATTATTTATGTTTGCATTGTTCATATAAATTTTTAAATGGAAAGACCTGACTGAAGGAAAGAACTGAAATACCCTTAAACTGCAAAATGACCAAAATACCCTGAAGAGTAATAATCCAAAATATCTCTAAGCCCCGGAATGACTAAATTATATGACCTAGTTGAACTGAATGAAAGAATTGTATGTATTAAATTTCAGAAACGACTGAATTACTCTGGAAACTCCGAAGTAACTGAGATAGACTTGACTATTAAATGACCTAAGTACCTCGATGACCTTGAATTAAGTGAATAACTTGGATAAGTCTTGAGTCACTGATGATATATGTTGTATGTTCGTCTCCCTAAGATTCATTCCACGATGATTCTGAAGATGATCAATTTGACAAGAGTTGTCGGCATTAAAGAGTGAATACTCTTGAAGTGCAACGATTTGACTGGTTGACATGTATCATTGATGGGACTTGTACAGTTCGGGATAACTCGATATTCCGATAGATCGACAAAAATCATAAATGCCTCTGATTTTCGGGATAATGGAATCACTCATGTCATATATGAAAACACAGTAACTCAGATGCAAAGGATTCTAAATACCTTTCTGAGTTCATAATGCTTCCGAAAAATGTCTGAATACTATATGATTCTATTAAATCACATTTTGAATAATTGATGATCCAGTCAGTTAATGAACTCTTTTGATAGTGATACTAATTTACAACATTATATTGGTATACTGAAGATCCGTATTTTCCTACCCGATAAGATTATCTTATACCACCGAATAATATATGGAAATCTAGTGTGTTCCCTCATATGAATGTTTTCTCTTATTTTTGTTCTGATCTCTACTCTGATTTCTGATATCTCTGGTTACTGACTGAAAATGTTTTATTTGGGGTACTCTAGGATATAGTATGAAGACTCATGCAGGTTCAGTCGCTGCTGGTAATTCCTTGTATATGTTCAACACCGACTGGTAATTCCTATCTCTGGCAGGTTCAATCGCTGTTGGTAATTCCTTGTATAGGTTCAACACAGACTGTTAATTCCTTATGGACCTAAGGCGACCATTGGATAGGCCCTGAGAATCTTTCTTGGGTAGGCTCTTAGGCCCCAAGGTGCTCCCTTAGATTATGCAGTTCTAGGGAACTGCATATGGCGTTCGGTTGGAGGGATTACTATGGTTTTTGAAAATACGTTTTAAACTGCTACTGTTTTAAAAAGATTTATACATTTTACTAGATATGTGGGAACACTAAACACACTATTCTGGTCTCCTGAACCCAGTCATCCGAAACATTTTCTCTGAACTAATAGCTTACTGTCTTTTACTATCTGAGATATCGGTGGGACCTTAGCTCAACATAAAAGTCTGTAGATGTCTGAACTAATAAGGAAACATATGCTTATATGTTATATGTATCTTCTTCAGCATCATCTAGTAGTTCTGCATTACTAAACTTCCCAAAGTTCACTCTCTTTTACTCACCATTTTTCAGTGCAATTATCGACTTCAGTAAGGAGTTCTTCCGGCGTTGCTTGCGGAGTATGGTGCATGTGATTAGGGGGCATGTAGCTTGTATTTTGTTTTATATCCGAGTCTGGAATCTGTTTTATTTTTTAATAATGTTAAATTTTACTGTTATGTATATAAATTGTTTTATGATTTTACATGTTTTAACAAAAAAAAAAAAAAAATCTGAGATTTTTATGGTGGGTCGCTCCAGTGACCTTAATATGACATTCCGGATCGGATCACCGCATCGGTATGAGGGTTACACTGCGAGCATCTCTCATAATAAGCATTTCCCGTAAGCTCCTATCAATTTATTGTTCAATTCGATATCACCCGCAAACCTCGATCTTCTCAAGAAGTCAT